TGTTTGGATTGTCTTTCTTTATGGCCGCCTGCTTGTGTCGCAGCTTGATGTGATTTTAATTGAGTTGCGAATAAAAATAAAGCTGTAAACATATCAATTACCACGGCGCCCAAAGCATAAGTTTTGCCCCAATTATCGGAAAACACAGACATTACAGTGCTATACAAACATATATATATATATATTGTGTGTATGTATGTCTCTGTGTCTCCGTGTCTGTGTGGATTTCCCCCCCCCCCCACTCTTACGCACGGGAGACAGTCCAACGATCTGCAAGATTTATCGTCTTGCAGGTAGCTTTTCCCCTCTCCTCCTTTCTCCCTCTCCCTCCCCCTCCCCCTCTGTCTCCCCCCTCATCGGATTCTCACTTTTTCTTTCGCTATTTCTACAACTTGTTGCTGTGGCATTTTATCAAAAACGAATCTGTGGCATTTCATTCGGAGTCGAAGTCGAACTCCAAGTCGCAGTCGCAGTCGCAGTCGCAGCCGAGTCTTTGGTGCCTGCCTCGAATGCCGAATGCCGATTGCCGAATGCCAGCAGCAGCCCACACATCTCCTCAGCGGCTTGACGACAGTTTTTTTTATTTAATTTTTTTTTTATGTCATACACTTTCTACAGGGTTATGGGGATTTTCACTAGAAGCCTTAGCGGAGAAGGTTCTTTGATTATTATTTTTTCTTTTTTATATTTGCTTTTTTTTTGATAATTTTTTTTGTTTTACGATTTATTTTTTTATTTTTTTTAAAGATTTTTTTGATTATGCTTTTCTACGATTTTTTTTTTTTTTTTTTTTTTAGTTTTTAAAGATATTTTGACTTAAAACTAACACAGTTCCTCAAAGAAAATCAGTTTTTCTAGTGAAAATTTCATGAAATAATTTAATTTTGTAATTTTTAAAGTTTTTCCAATTTCTTTTTTATTAGTATTTTTTGTTGTTGTATGCTATTTTTTATTATCATTTTTTAATATAATTTTTTTTTATCATTTTTTAATATAATTTTTTTTTATCATTTTTTAATATAATTTTTTTTTATCATTTTTTAATATAATTTTTTTTTATCATTTTTTTCATAATATTTTTTATCATTATTTTTCAAAATATTTTTTTTATTCAAATTTTTTTTTTATTAATATTTTAATAATTATTTTGTGCCTCGACAAAAATGCTTCTCTTCTGGCAAGAATTTTGATCAAAAAAGGGTCCCCCCTAATAACAGATCATCGAAAAGAGACGTCGCGACGTCCATTGGCGATCGAAGGGTATATCCGGGTTCTGCTTGCCCGCTGGGTGGCTTTTCTTTCTTTCTGTGTTTGAGTTTATTTTTCTTGATTTTCCTCGCCCCCTTTTCTTTCCACTTTCCAGTAGCCGAAGAGGCCTTTGTCATTGTTTTTCAGCCATTGAGAAGTTGGCCATCGTCTCCGTCGTCGTGGGGACTGGGACTCGCGTCATAGTTAAAAAAGTATTTTATCTATGGATTGTCAATGCATCTGTGTATCTTTGTATCTCTCTCGTGTGTGTGTGTGTGTGGCTGTGCATTGTTTTTACTGCTTTGAGACGAGACTTTCGTTATAATGTTGTGCCTGTTGTCGCTGCCGCTCTGTGACTGACTCTGAAAGTGAATCTCAAATATTTCATTGGCGGCGGGGAGAAGCCAAGGATGGTTTGTGGCTCGATGTCGTCGATGTACGTCAACAGAATTTGCTAACAAGGTCACATGGAAAGATACAGAGGGGAAGGGGGATGGGGGGTGGGTTCCCTGCCCCAAACAATGTATCTTTTGAGCTGCATATCTGAGAGTCAGCATCTGGAGAGGCGACAGAGGAGGAGACTCTCATTTGGTATTGGAGGGGTTTGTATTTGTTTTTGTTTTTGTTTTTTCTCGAAAAGATTTCAACGCATTTCACTTTCTATTGCATTTCGAATGCATGCATTTCTCCCTCGCTCTCACAGGTCTCTCTTCCTCTTTCACTTTCGTTGCGTTGCGCTTCAAGAGAGGGACAGAAACGGGGGATTCTCCCGAATGGAGTTCTCCTCCCATGATGGGGGATATCTTTCACCTTTGCCGTGTTTGCCTGTTTCCGTTTTTCCGTGTGTTTATGCAACCACAAATTTGTGGTTGACAGAATTTCTGGTTACGCATCTGCCTTTTGGTGTGGCTTTGAGTTACAGAAACACAACAAAAGATCTTCCCAGTGAAGAAACGCCCAAGAAGGGTTCTAGAATTACACGTACAAAAGGCACTTATCTAATGGGGAGTACAGTAGGTGCCAGAGTGGGGCCTGGGAGCGAGGGAGGGCGGTACAGTAGGGGCCAGTAGGTGGCATACCCTGTTGTACCCCAAGAAATACGAGCCTGGTGACTGGTGACTGCTTCCAAGCAGATAAAAGAGGCATTAGAAGAGGCTTTAGTGCCCAAGGGAGAAGCACTCTTGCAGATCCCTTGGAGGTGTTCTTCCCCCCTCAAAGGAATAGCCTCTCTACTCTGTTTTTCTTTTATTAAACCACTCTTAAAGTATTAACACTTTTTGGCTTTTTCCACTCGATTTTTGTGCCTTGTTGCTCCCGCCTCGCCGCCCGCCTTTCGACATGTGTCAAAATCTTCGACAAGAAAATGCTCGAATGGAATTTCTATCCATCCCCCCTCCCCCCTCATGGCGGGGCACCACTGGGAAAGGGATCCAATTATCGCCTGGAGACACTGTCGTCGGTCGTCGGTCGTCGGTCGACGGTCGTCATTGTTTTCTTCTGCTGCTGCTGCCTCTTGTCGGCCGCTGACGATCGACGTTTGTGCCCATTTCCGACTTTAACAACTTGACCACAGAGGTGCCCCCTCCCCCCGCACTCCCCACTAAGAGTACCTTCCCCTCCCTCCCCTCACTCTACCATCTTTTGTTGTTTGCCAAAGTAAAACCCCGTTTTTTTGTTGTTTGTTTCGTGCAAATTTTCGCCAAGTCTGCAGTTGGCTGCAGTTTTGTTTGTTGCTTTTTTACAAATTGCCTGTAAATGATATTTTCACAACTCGCGCGCGCTCATCGATTGACTGCAACAGAGACCCACAAGCCCCCCCCGTCCGCCGCCTCCCACTCCACTGGCCCAGTACCCCCTTTGGGCCCCCGTCCCCCCGAATAGGTCCAGAAAAGTGAGAGAGTTCGTTGGGGTTAATGCGACCAATAAATTGTTGTTTGGCGATTTGTTGCTGATTTTTCTCGGTTTTCTCGATGTTTTATGAGCCATATTTTGTGTCTCCCTCTCGCTCGCGTCTCTCTCTTGCTCCTTTTTTTTTTGGGGGGGTATTGTTTTCTTCTTTTTGGGGTCTTTAAAGGGGACGGGGGTGGGGGGGATTGATGTTTTGTTGAATGTCGAAAGCCTAACGGCCAATGACGAGAAATATTGAAATTTTACACAGAAATTGTTTTCAATTTTCATCGACATTGTTCAATTTTTCATGATTTTCCAAACTTAATGGAGGGGGGGAGTGGGGTGTGGGGGGTATGGGGGGTATTTCCATCGCAAATTCGAGTGCAAATATAATTAATGATAATGAATTGTTGTGTTGCTGCGCCGCGCAGAGACGCCCTCGGGGGAAGTGGTTTTGTTTTCGTGGTGCAGAGGGGGCCTGGAGGGGGCTGGGGGGAATGTGTACGAAAAAATGTCGTGCAACGTTTTGAAGGAGGTTTGTGGGAGTTTTTTCGGTTTTCTTGGGTGATTTTCTGTTGGTGTAGCTGATTTATCACTCGAGACAGGCCTGAGAGATCTCTGCGACTCCACGCTCCCCACTCCCCACTCTGCACTCCACTCTCTGCCGAGGCCCAAGGAGAGTGCCACAGCGAAAGGTTGCCATAAAAAAAACAAGAAAGGAAGGCAGTTCTCAGCGGCTAGCCGAAGATATTGATACCCTTTTTGTGGAGCAATTGTTTCTGTGCAAGCGAAATGCCAGAAAAATACTTTGAAAGAACTAGAAAATACCATTAAAGTGTCATAAAAATACTAGAAGATTCATAGAAAATATGAATTTGAAAAATACTAAAAAAAAACTCCAGTTTAATACTAAAAAATGTCTGTTGGGAAAACTCAAACTTACCTGAAAATACTAAATAAAAAATACAAATTTAAATACCAAAATAAAACTAACAAAATACCAAAAATTAACTAAAAATACTAGAAAAATTCCAGTTTAATACCTGAAAGAATACCAGTTTAAATACCATGTGAAAACCTAAAAAATACCTAAAATGAACTAAGAATACTATAAAAATACCAGTTGAAATACCATAGAAATATGTTAATTACCAGAAAATATAAAAGCCTACCATAAAAATGTAGCAAACGCTCAAAAAATACAACAAAATGAGCAAAAATTCCTGAAAATACAGAAGGACGAGGCGTACCAAGAAAATACTAGTTTTAGAGCATTAAAATAACATGAACATGAGGCATTGGGCAGGAAAATTTATGTAGAACAGATTGTGATGGATCGATGCCGATTGATCCGTATGCCACATAGAATCTTTGATGCTTTCTGTCTGCTGGAAATCATCATATCCCTGGCCTCTTTTAGGGTATCGGCAAAAGCAAAAATGTTGCTAAGCAAATGTTGCCGAGAGTAAAAGTTGATGGTTTATTATGCCTCAGTTTTTTGCGGTTTTTGCTTTCCTTCTCCTCGGTCCCCATTGCCATCCCCATCCCCATCCTCCATCCTCCATCTGCGTTTCCATCTGCGTCTCCTGCATTATGCAATCGCTCGCCCGCCAAGTGCTAATATCACAAACATTGGTAAACAATTTTCCCCCATTTTCCACTCGACTCGACTCGAGTCGACTCCACACTGCTCCACTCGTTGCTGCCGCTGTTGTTTTTGTTGTTGTTGCTGTTGTTGTTTCTGTTGTTGTTGTTGTCATTTGTCAAACTCCATTTCCGCTCCATTCAAAACATTTTCACATCACTTTTGCTTATTTGTTTTAACACGCATTTTCCTTCTCTTTTTTGTTGTCTCGTTGCAGATTCGAATGGCGCCACAAAAGTCATTGATTGTCCAATGAATTTCGACTTTCGCACAATTTGCGAACATTTCACACTCGATTATGTGAGTAATTGTCTGTTAATTAAGTTTTACATTGAGATACTGATCGCAAAGAGAGGAGTCCCTGTCGGAGTCCGGAGTCGGAGTCCGGAGTCCGGAGTCTGTTGTCTGCTGTCTCGTATGTTGTAATTCTTCTCTCTTTGTGTAGCTGTCATGCAGGAATGATAGATTTTGAGTAGCCTAACGAGTTGATGATGGGGTTCATTGGGTGGCAATGGGACGGGGGAAGGGGTGGGGAGGGGAACGGGGGATATGGCATTGTCATGAATGAATGAATGAATGAATGAATGAATGGGGTGTTTTGATCTTGAGTGGAGAATAATTGACTAAGTGCTGGCAAGAGGGTTAACTACTAGGAGGAGGGCTCAACTGTACTTGGTAACGGAAGTAGGTCAATGTCAGGGTCAAGAGAACGAAGCGAAAAGGGAACGATGGGAATGGGAAGTGTTGAAGGAATGGAATGATAAGAATAGAAGCAGCAAAGTGGAATAACAGGAATGGAATGAATGGAAAGAACGAAAGGAAATGGATTGTAAGGAAAAGGAACAGAGAGACATCAGACTCTTGGGGAAACAGAATATTAAACGAAGCAATAGGCCAGACATTGATTTGGTATTGAACAAGAACTTTTTGAAATAGAACTACGAAATATATGGGATATATATGGAGATGGAAGTAATGGAAACTCTGAGAATCGAAAAAAGATAGTCATGGAGTCAGAAACTTAGTGGAATCCAACGGAAAACATTGAAAACTTAAACATTTAACACCAAATTCGTGACGGGGGAGGATTTTTATAGTTTAAGGAACACTTTTTTTCAAATATATTTAATTTACACAAGTGTGGGGGATTTCCATGAATTTATAAGAGTGCAGGCCTTCGACCTTTCGTAGAGCAGTAGTATAAAGAAATTTATTTTTAAGAAACAGAATGATGAAGGGAAAAATAAATAAATACTAAGCCCCCTTAGTGACGGGAGATGATTTTTGTAGATCATCTGATCTTTTCTGATCTGATCTCATATTTTTCTGTGTGTGGTGTTTTTTTGCATTCCATTACCATTTGTTTTTATTCCCTTGTTCCGTATTCCACCGTTTCACACTCTTCTATTCCCTGTTCCACCGGTTGACATTCCATATACCACTGTTTTCCATTCTTTTGTTTCACTTTCCACAGTTACACATTCTGATGTTTCGTGGTTCAGTGTTTCACATCCTCCTGTGTCATTTGTTACCGTTTCAGATTCTTCTGTTTCATTTTCCTGCGTTGCGCATTCCCCAGTTTCACATTATCCTGTTTCATATCTACATTTTTCTCATTCCATCGTTTCACATGTTCCTGTTTTGTATCCTGTTTCATATTCCACAGTTGCAAACTCTACTGTTCCACATGTTCCTGTTTTGTATCCTGTTTCATATTCCACAGTTGCAAACTCTACTGTTCCACATTCCATCGTTCCATATTATTTTTTGTACATATACTAATTAAGTTTTTTGTTATTGTTGGTTTCATTTCGACGCCGTATCGTAATTTATGTTTTCTCTTCTTTAAGCCACTAATTTGCTGGCCTCTTAAATTAAGAGAAGTAGGCAGCCGAGCAGCCGGGCAGGCAGGCAGGCAGGAGTGTGGCGGGGGAGGGGGAGGTGTGGCCATCGAGTGCTAGGGGGCGGGGGGAGGGGTTATTTACAGCCTTGCCACCTGTCACCTGCCTGCAGTGTTGCCGCCTGCCTGCCTGCCGATTAGGTGGGTCATAACAAACGACTTCCCGCCCTAACGAGAGGCGTGGCCGAAAATCGGGACTAGTTTTTCTCCCTCCCTGCCCCAAAAAAAGAAACAAAACAAAAAACTGATCGCAGAACATGTGGAAAACGTGTTCGAGCTGCAAAAAACAGAAACAACAGAAACAACAACAACATGCAACATACGAAACACGAAACATTTATCATATGCTCAGGAATGCCGAAGATAGAGTCCGGGGTTCAGCCGAAAAATTGTTTATAAACTGTAGACAAATTTTCCAGCAGCAGGAAGGGGGAGGGGAGAAAGAGGTTGGGGGGTTGGGGGGCTGGGGGACTGGGTGGGTGCCTCGTTGGGAGGTGGCGACACTATGTTTGCATGTTCCGTAAATTTGTCCACTCCGCCAAACTTCACGATAACTTTCGTTTTTTCTGTTTTGTTTCCATCGTTTTTGGAGCACTTCTCTAATTGCTTTTGCACCGAAAGGAAAACAAAAACTCCACAAAGGAGAGGGAAAAAACGAAAACGAGAAAAGAGTCGCCTTTTGTCTTTCGTATTTTGTGGCCTCCATCGTCGGTCGTCGAGTCGTCGGTCGTCGAGTCGTCGGTCGTCGAGTCGTCGGTCGTCGAGTCGGTGTCCATGTTCCATGTCGCCATCTGTCGCACTCTTGTGGCTGTTGTCTCCCTCCACGTTCCTTTGTGGCATGTTGCATGTCTGCACATATGTGGCGGAGGAGGAGGAGAAGTCCAGGGATCGGGGGATCGGAGGAGAGTTCATGGCAAAGGCGAAGGAATTCGGAATGTTTTCATTTTGGGTCTGGTCTGACATTCGGGCAAATGTTTGCAGCAGGATAATGGATGAAAAGGATACGCAGTCGAAGAAGCCAGCACTACATGAAATGAAGAAAGACTGAAGAAGAAAGACGGATGCAGAGTGGAGAGACTAAGAATTGAGGAAAGAGGCAAGCAAACGATAGATGCAACGAATGCAAATATGAGGGTGAAGATTCAAGGAGAATGAAGGTAAAGTGACGAAGAAAGAAGGAAAAGAAAGCAGGAGAATGAAGGTAAAGGGACGAAGAAAGAAGGAGAAGAAAGCAGGAGAAGAAAGAAGGATAGGAATGATAGAAGAAGAAAGAAGGATAGGAATGATAGAAGAAGAAAGAAGGAGAAGAATGATAGAAGAATGATGGTGGAAGAATTATGGTGGATGAATGATGGAATGGTGGAGGAATACTGCAGGAATATTGAATAAGAAACGGGAAAAGTGAACAGAGAAGGAAGTAAAAGGGGAATAGAGAGCCAAGAATGAAGATGGAATACCAGCACGAAGTAAGAAGAATCCTGAATGGAGTAAAAATAAACCTGAAAGAATAAAATCTAACGAAGATCAAAGATTGAAGAAACCGTGATCGAAATTCGTGTGAAGATTGAAGAAGAATCAATGAGCAGAACTTGATCAGCGCTCAGTGATGCATTTCATACGCTAGTTCTGTGGTGATCATGAGGCATAAAATGGAGCATAAAAATATATACCACGATCCATTGTCTTAGTCCAAGATGGATGGCTTTCGATAGCTGACATATCGATAGGCAAACGCACTGAATCGGGAAGAAAAACAAAGCCAAAATAATCAAAAATCCTGAATTCGGTTCTAAACCTTGGTTTTAGAGGGTTTTTATAGGTTCCGAGCCGATTGTCGGGATAGTCTGGAGCCAGCACTCCAGAAACGATGAATGAAAGCTATCCTTGAGCGCTGATCAAGTTCTGCTGCACGGCATAGACCTCTTCCAGATCAGAGATCTCAGTAAAGCTCTGGACAAGTCCCGTATCCCCCACTCATGGATCTCCGATGCCTCCTTCCTCCCTCCCCATCGCTGACCCGATAAAACGTTGTCAAAGGCAACACGATCGCAACAAATTAAACAATTCATTGTCTTTGGAGCATGCACCTCTCCACACACCACACACCAGCCCCTACTCCCCTCCTCCCCTCTCCCCGCCCCTCCTCCACACTCCACCATTGATGTCTTTTGGCCACAATTTAACTAGGCTTTGGACCACATATTGTGATTGTTTTTGTGGTCAAAACGTTGCGGTTTGCTCCGAACTGAAACTGAAGTCTCCTTTCAGTCTCTGCGCCCCCCCCTCCTTCCCTCGATCTCTACCTCTGAAAAGGTTTCGCTCTGTTGCCGTTTTTTTTGTTGTGTTGTGTGTTTTTTTTTGTTGGTAACAAGTCAATATGGTTATTGTCGCCAGATTGTTGTGGCCTGCCATTTGGCCATTTGGCGATTTGGCCAGCATTCACGTGTGCCAAAAGTAACGCCGTCTCCTTGCCCCTCCACTCGGTGTCTCTCTCTGTGCAGCATGTGGCATGAAGCAGTTAACAATTCATTAGGTGTTGCAGCAGCAGCAGCAGTGGCAGTGGCAGCAGCAGCTGTTGTTGCCACTGCAGCAACTATCTTGGCAATTGTCAATTTATGGCGTGTTGTCTGCCTTTGGGGGTCTCCATCGCCATCTCCTTCTCCTTCTCCATCGCCATCGCCATCGTCTGAGCCATGGTCCGGGCCAGCCAACCAACTTGGCTCCAATGGCCAAATGTGCGGCACTCGAATGGCGATTCTTGGAAAGAATTCTGCAGCAGCCGCCAGTTGCTGCTTTAAACAATATTTTAATTATGCTTTTGGTCTGCGGAATGTGGATTGTCGTTGCAGTCTGTCCGTCCCAATCTCTCGGTCTCTGCTTCTCCGATTCGAACTCTTTTTTAATGGTTTGGTTCTTTATTGCATTAGAGCGGAGATCAGAGCTGGCCAGCATCTCCTATCGAGTCTTTAGAGAGGAGACTGTGGAGGGGACACGATAGGAGCTTCATTTCGAACCCGATGAATGTTGTTGATGCGATGAGGAGGAGACTTTTGTTTGCTTCTTCTACCATCCCTAGAATCCTATCGAATCTCTTATTCCATTCGCGATGATTGGTGGTGAGAGGAGACACTCACGTTGCAAGGAGACTTTCCTACAATCCCCAGAATCCTAGCGAAGGAGACATCGTTGCTTCTTCCACAAATTCCTTGAACCTCATCGAACCCTATCGACTCTCTTACGATGAATGATGATGATTGAGTGATGGAGACACTCAGAGAGTCCTCTTTGCTGGCTCTACCATCCCTCACAGACCTCACTCACGTTTAAGAAGAAGAAGTCTCCTTCTCTTTGCTGCCTCTACCATCCCTTAAATCCCATCGAATCCATTAGAGATGCGAAAATAAAGAGTAAACTCTTTCTGCGCTCTCTGTGCCATCTCTAGCACGGGCACTCGATCTTATCTCCGTTGATTCGTTACTCATTCGCTGCCAAGCGAATCGATGACTAAATGAATGGCCAAGTCGGGGTCTTATCTCCGCTCTCGGGCCGAAGATAGTGCCATTTGCTGTACAATATACCATCTACCATAGACCATATACCATAGTATAATTGATTAACTTTTGGCCCCACTCGAGTGTCTGCGAATGGAGCTATCGACGCTATCTAATCTTCGCAGAGAGCCCAGGCCCCAGGCCCCAGGCCCCTGGCTTTCAATTGCTCGTGCACTTGATTTTGATTTGCGTTTAATTGAAGTCTTTCCAGCGTGAGAATAAACCCAAATTTAAGCGAGTTTCACATCCGTCCACGGGGTGGGGCATGGGGGAGGGGGGAGATTCTGTTCTCTGCGAAGCGGAAGTAAGTGAAGATAAAAGTCTACGCGAAATGAAGTGGAAATGGAAGTAGTTCTGCCCGCGAATCAGAACAAAGGAAAGTTTTGTTTTATTCGAAATATACCCAAAAAAATCCCCAAATCAAGGCAAGAGGCCATTTCCTCGCGGTAGTCCCCTCCCCCCCCCAACTTCAATGAAAGTCCAAGGAAAGGAAAACTGGAAATTTGCAATTTCCCAAATGAATTGCACTTCCATGACGTCCAAGGGGAGCGGGCCCCCGTTTCCTCGGAGCAGACTTTCGTTTAGTCACTCGACTCGGATTTTGCATGCAAAAACTGTGTGCGAAATTTGCATAAAAGGGGGAGCCCTGGACGGCAGCGCTACGGCTGTGCCTGTGCCTGTACATGGGCCCCTTCTCCATCAGTCCATCACTCCATCACTCCATCAGTCTATCGGTCTCTGCTTCCTCCTGCAGGGGCCGTGAGTCATAAACAAATATGTATTTGATTTTATGGCCAACACATAAAGCGGTTAATGCCTGCCGTTGTGGCTTCATTACATAATTATGTAATTAATATGCTCAAGAGCAGCAGAAAAATTAATTTTAACCACGAGGGTTCTTTGATGTGCAAAAACAAATACTTATCAAATTGTATAGCCTCATAAATTCCAACAGATTTACGGAAAATTGATCGTAGATACTGCAGTAATCACAGAGATACTAAAATGTACCATTGAAATACTTCGAAAATACCGAAACAAGGATGGATACCGAAACAAGGAAATACCAAAAATAGTACTGGAAAATTCCAAAAATAATTCTGGAAAATACAAAAAATAATACTGGAAAAATACTAAAATTAATACTGGAAAGATACCAATAATAGTACTGGAAAAATACCGAAAATAATAGTTGAAAAAATACCAAAAATAATACTAGAAGAATACCAAAAATAATACTCATGAAATACTGAAAAATACCATTAAAATACTGAACCGAACAAGACCAAAACTTTCTCAGAAATCAGAGAAAAGGCAAACAAATGTTGCTTTTAGGATTCAACAAAAAAATAAATAATAATAATAATGAAAATTATTTTTCCCCCTTCCCTCCCCCATTATGCAAATCCCCAAATATTTAACACTTTCCACTTTGGTCGTCGCCAGATAAAAATCTCAGCTCAAATACAATTTTCTTTGTAATATTTTGTGGGGTCTTCCGCCGCGCCTCCTCCATGCCTCCTCCGACCACCTGTTGGACGCCACCGCCTCTTGCATAAGACACCTGTAAACATTCGGTAATAACTCTTTTAGCCCCGAAAAGAGCCCCAGCCGAAAGCACGGCCCAGGCCCAAGCCCAAGCCCAAGCATGTTCCACATGTGGCACATAAAAGTAGCCACACAATGAGCAGCACCGCAGCAGAGAGGCGGAGACGGAGACCGAGACGGAGACCCTACACAGAGACCTCAGAGACCAGAGACCAAAGATCGGGGGACCGCACCATAGAGACCCCAAAGAGCAGAGGAGCCGAAGAGCAGAAGAGCAGAAGAAGCCCAGCAAAGGCAATTAATAGACAAAGAAGGCACACAAAACGCACAAGAGGAAGCAAAAGCAAAGAGCAGACAGAAGACAGAAGAGCAGAAGAGCAGAGCGACGACGAGACAGAGGTTAAAAATAGACAAATATTTTGCGTAGACAAACGAAACCAAAAATGAAGTCAACAAATATGTGGATGGCGATGGCGGTTGGGGATCGTTGGAGTTGGGGTTGGATTTGGGGCTGGGATTGCAGGTACCGCCACATTTTGCCATGCCAGACACGAAGTTTACGAGCAGAAGCTCGTAAATCTGCCACAAGCCCCACGGAGAGACATTCAACAGTCATTCATTCATTCAGTCGGTCATTCATTCATTCAGTCGTCGTACCTGATTATAGCTCAAAAGAAGGCCCGCGAAAGATGACAAAAGAATCTATTCCGAAGCGATGACAAAACTTTCGATTTCCATGGGTGGCTCCACTGCTCCATAAATCTTTGATCTTTCACGATCTATGGCCAAGGGAGCTTAAATCAATGAAAGAACTTTGTTTTGGCCACCAAATAAGTCAATATTTAATCTCGAAAAAGATCTCAACAATCTCTTCAAATCAATGGGACTTGGGCTCCTTTTTTGGTGGCTATTTTTTGCTTCACTTGCGATTATTATTGGTCCAAAGACCCGCCAGCCGAGACTTTATTTACAGCATTTTAGCATTCATTTGTGTGGCGGGGCCACGCCCTCTGCCTTCTCCATTCACCACCCACCACCCACTTTTTGCCTTTTGTCTCTCCAGATCTTGGATCTCCCTCTGTGGGATCGGATCTGTGTGTGGCTGTGGCTGTGGCGGCTCTTAAGTGGCTAAATGAACGGCTAGCAGGCCAATTTTGGAGCCGAGACAAGGCACACCGCCTCTGTGCACTCCACTCCACGTCTGTGTCTGTGTGTGTGTGTGTGTGTGTGTGTGCGAGAGTGGTGCCCCCTTCCGACTGATTTGCATACGAATATGGCCCACAAGTGGTTTTTTTTTGCGACTAATTTCGTATGAAAATTTGATTGCTTTGCTCTGCGATTAGAATCGTGTTCATTGTTTAGAGTACCACCTCCTCCTCCACCTTTTCCACCTCCTCCTCCACCTCCTCCCACTCCCCCTTCTCCACCTCCTCCTCCTACTGCCGTCTGGCGCTGCTACTGTTGTCCGTCGAGTCGTTGACCAAAAAGTTGCCACGAAAATTAAGTAATATTTGCATTCGTAATTATTATGATTCGAGCTTCAAGAGCGGCAAAGAGCGGAGGGGCGACGAGGGGGGCGGCGGGTGGGGCTTGAAGCCATGTTATTATGCAGTTATAGCCATTATAGAAGTTGGCTTTTAATTGCAGTTTACGGTTACTGTTTGTTGTTTACTGTTTGCCTTTTCCGCGTGTGTTTTTGTTTTTGTTTCTTTTTCTGTTTCTGCGGGTGAGTGGGTGTGATATGGAGATTGCAGATATTTGCCGGCTCCCGAGAACCGACTCGACTCAGGTTCTTGCGAGACTTAATTAATGCCTAAGTGGTTCATGTGCCACATGCAGAGGGGGTTCTTTCATAACCGCAAAGCCAGCCAGCCAGTCAGCCAGCCAGTGTTGCAATATCTGATAAGTGCTGGTGCTGGTTGCCCCCAGAAATGATATGGTAATGCGATATAATGTGTGCGCACTGAGCCACGAGACTGAGAGATAGCAAAGAGTTTGTTAATTAAGAAATTTTGAAAGATTTAGGGTTAGGAATAATGAAAAGGGAACGTCTGAAGAAGTAGAAATCAGTGAAATAATGGATTGCACTTCGATTGCATTTTTTGAGGTTTAGGTAATCCGTACGTGCTTTAAAATGGTTTAAGGTCAAGTGTTTCCCAGTCCAAAACGGTTTCCACGCGATAATCTAAATTTTTTCGCTTAGGAATGGTGGAAGATGAACATAAAGGGGGAAAGAAATGCTTGGAACTAATGGAAATACAATTTTGAATGGTAATTCCAATATTTAGAAGTCAAGTGTCTCATTTCCAGTGTTCCCAAACTGCTCTCCAGCGACCTAAAGAGGTCGCTCTTAATCGGACATTCCACAACAATAGAACTTTAATGAGCCCTACAAAATCTCTCTCTCTCTCGCTCTCTTTACATGCGAGCTTAATGGATTTCCTATGAAAATATCAATCAAAGATCCCCTCGTTTTCGACCTAAAGACTACGGGAAATTATACCCCAATTGCCATTCGCTTTCGTCTGCAGGTCGTAATCGCTTTTCCACATAATAATACCAATCATTAGCAGTAGAAGAGGGAGAGGGGGTAAATAAACTGCTGGTGGCAGCAATTATGCTGCAGAGAGCACATCCCATGTGCCGCCACGGGGGGCAGGGCGGTGCACCATCATCGAGGGGGGTGTGAGGGGCAATCATCATTATAGGCAACCCACCAGAAAAGACCAGAGATCTGTACAACATTCATATCCCTAATTTGTTTTGATTTCCTTTCCACTAATTTGCAATTTCTTCTCTCTTCTTTCTTCCCTTTTCTTGTTTCGATTTTTCAGTGGCATTAACATACAAAAACATTTTATCAAAATAACGAAACAAGTATTTTGCATAAAAACGAACGGGAAAGGAAATCGAAATCGAAAGGAACGAAACGAAACGAATCGAACGAAACGGAACGCGACTGTACTCCCTGCTCCTCCCCAGACAAGGTCATTGTCATAGCCATAGAGCGGAACGCTGGCAAACGAAACAAAACGAAACAATGGGAATAAGAGGAAGCCATGCAGACATGCAAATGTTGAGCGAATTTTAAGCTGAAGTTTAAGCCAATTTACATAATAGCCAGCACACACTAACTAACATACACACACACACATCGAACACATGGGAAACGCTACCAAAAAGAGAGCTTAAACAGAGACCGCAACAATGGAAATGCAACACGAAAGGAAGAAGGAAACAGGTGGAGAGCAAAGGATAGAAACAGAAACAGAAATGGAGAAAGAAACAGCAGCAACGACAGAAGCAGTGATGCCGCCTCCAACGGACGAGGAAAGAGCATCAATAAGCAACCAAGAGACTGAAACAGCGGCCATGATGAAAGAAGGACCCGGAACCGGACCCGGACTCGGATCCGGACTCGGGTTCGATTCACCCACAACGAAACCCATGAAATTCGAGAGCAGCATCGCAACAGCAGGGATGATATTTGCGATGCCGGCCACGCCCCCGAACAGGGGGCCGACACTTCTAACCACAAAATCCGCTAGCAATAGCCGCAGTAGTTCCCTCAAGAAACAGCGACGCGGAACGAAGGGGAATGGAACGGGAACCAACGGCGGCGGCGGTGGTGGTGGCGCCACTGCCGGCCAGCCATTGAACTACTCGAAGAACAGTGGCAAACAATCGCAGTCGATGACGTCACTGCAACCGAACGAAGAGGAGCATCAGGAGCACCGACGTGATGCCATTCAGGCGAAGCTCCATTTGGAGCGGCCCTACAACAGCCTCAAGGTGAGTGAGTGATCACACCGGAACGGTGGAACGGGGGGCCCTGCATCAGGTGCCCCGCAGGTACAGTTGTGCCTGTCGCTGGTGTGCGAGTGAGTGGGTAGGCTGGATGCTTGCATAAATTTGCAATTGATCAGTGGACAGACGCTTGACTCTTGACGTATAGAGTGAGCTCCCATTCCGTTCCGTTCCGTTCTGTTCTGTTCCATGCCGCACGCTAACGAGTTTCTGTGCGCAGCGCGGCCTACCTACCGTTAGAATGAAAATGCTCTTGTTCTTGTTCTTGTTCTCCTTAATGGCGTGTGTCCCCCAAGAGTGTGTGTGTCAACGGAAATTGCTTTAATAAATTATTAATAAATTTCATTATTAGCATAAACCAAAAGCCTTCCATAACGGGGCTACTGCCAGTGGCGCCACAAACTAGCAACGTAAATTGCTGATTTATGCTGGAAACTGGAAAAGTATGATGAACGGGGCTGCTTTCAGTAGGCTGAATGCAATTGGCGCTGATTCATCAGTGGATTGCATTGCCCATTGAACGTCCATTATACGCCAACATTCCGAAAAGGTACAGCGGTTACCATTTCCTGATTCTTTCAATAGAAGCTGCTGCTTGCCTACATAAAGCTCTACCTTCGAAAGTTCTTCTTCGCTGAGACGGTGTTCCACATTTCCACATTCCAAGCGGAGGTACAGTCTAGCCAAAGCATAGCTACCTTGCCAGACCTTCCCCCAGATGTCGCTGTCAGCTGCACATGCCAAATGCCATTCCAGAACACCCAAGACCTCCCACTAGGCTGCAGTCCGCTGACCGTGGCTTATGCAAATCTGTGGAGTGTCGGCATTCCACACACCAAAATATCAGTTCCCACAGCCCGTGCTTTGATTTACTTATAGACTCGCAGACCGCAGAAAACAAAACCATTTCAAGGCTGCCCCAAAGACCACCCTGCACCGTACGTACACACTCGTACAACATGTCTCTGATCTTTTCTTAGTCACTGAGCGGGGATTGGGCGCTGACTGAGTGCGGATTAGGGGGCTGGGAGTTCGCATGAAATGCGAGTCGTCACTCCCCAACGACGGAGGAGGGGAGCGCCCCACCTGGCACTCATTTAATCAATTACTCAAATCAGCAGAAAACAAGACCCCAACCGATTCGGAATCTGAATGAATGAATGACTTATTCCATGTCGGATTTCAATTTCAATTACGACTTTTGCCTGCTTTTGCCGGCTGCTGCTGGCTGCTGCCTGCTTTCTGGGACGATTGTGTAAATAAGGAATTTCCTTGCACGATTTTTCTGCGGGAAAATCGATGATTAATTAATTGCGCGCACATTGCAATTTGGAGCGCGGCCAAAACGGGTTTCAGATGGTCGCGCAGCGTTATGTTTCTTCAGGCCCATATTGGGAGGCCTCAAATTACTTATTTATTAACAACTTTTTGTCTCCCAATGCACACATCTCAACCTCTCTCTTTCTCTCTGTCTCCTCTTCTTTCCACAGAAAAACTCACACAGTGGCGGCAAGTACAACGGCAACAAAATGCATCGCTATTCGTGGGGACAAAGCAGTCAAAGCAGTTCCACCAGCCTGCACAGTAGCGCCACTTTGGGCCTGGGCTCGTCCGGCAAAGACGACCTCTGGGCGGCCATACAAACGAACTACAACTATATCATGGACACGAACCTGCTGGATACGTGCAAGGAGGCCAGATGTGAGATAGAGGGCGCCAGCACAGTACTCGAGAAATCCAACGAATGTTGTTTGAAGGTAAATATCTATAGTTCAGCCCGAAAGTATGCTGTGGAAATTATTTGGGCATTATTCATAGATGCTCGAAGAAACCCAGCGACCGGATGGTGTTCTCTGCGAGGATCCCAAGGAGTTGCGTCGCTGGCTACGCGAAATGGAAAATAAATTGGAGATTTCCCCCACCATCACAGAGCTCACTTTGTATGGCAATGCGGAATTGCAGCGACATTTGGCAGTTCACTCGGTAAGTCCAAGTACACATTTTTTCGTAGCATAATTTTGCGCTGCCACTTAAATGTAGAATGTAGAAGGCGTGTTAAATACATGTAGAAGAATCGGGTAGAAGAGCCAAAGAATGTCAGAGGTACGCTTAGTTTAATAAATCAACAGCAATGTCTCTTTTGACATTTTGCAATTTTACATGTAGCAAAATTGGAATTACATGTCAAGTAAACAAAACGAAGCATGATTTTGGGTGGCTCCGATTTTCGGAGAGCCTCAGCTTTTACTACACCCAAAAATAAGCCAAAACAAAAACAAATTGCAAGGTCTTCATAAGTTTTTCGTTTTCCTTTTGTTTCATATAAAAACAAAGGCATATTTAACTAAAATATTTAAATTTCCAAAAGAAGTTTTTCTTAATTTTCTTAGTTTTTTTAACAATTGAGATATTCCAACAAATTTTTCTGCATTTTGAATCTCAAATGCTCTTGCCGTGGGATTTAGGTTTTATATTGGTTTATATTGGTATTGGTTGACGAGCTTCTTGGTTCTCTCGCTCTTGGCATGCAATTTCTTCCAGTCGGAGATCGCGTAGTGTTTCTGCCAGTCGGACGACAGAGGGAAGGCCACACCCACCCACCGGAGATGCTGTTGTTGTTGTCCTTACCGAAGGGGCACACAAAGGCCAAGGCCTGCTGGCGCATCTTGTCGATTCGCTCGAACACAGATTTCAATTCGTACGAATTTTTCCGAATTTATAATCGCCAAAAGTGCGAAAATCAGAGCATAGGGGGAAGAAAAGAACCAATGTAAAATTAAAGTAAATTTGGAGTTTACTTTTTGAAAAATGTTCAAAAATTGTACTAAACCGAAATGCAAGCGCACTCAAATCTTATGGTTCAGATGGTCACGAACGGAATTTCACAACTCTTGAGGTTTTCAAAGTGAATCAAAGTCGGGGCAAAAACGCACAAGAAACATTGGAAACATTGCTCTTCTGTGGTTTTCCATGAAAGTTGAGGTTGAAACTTTCAAAAAGCAAAAAAAGCACAAAAAAAACAAAAGAAAAAATAACAGAAAAAACAGAAAAAACGCTAAACAAATCTACTCTAGACCTCTAGCATTTGATAACAAGCCGAAAGAAAGCGAAAAGGAGATACTAATCGGGCGGCGCAATCTGCTGGTAAAAGTGTAACAAAACATGAAAAAACATTGTCCCCCCCACCCAAAAAAGACCAACAACAACAACAACAATTTTACGCATTTCATTTTCTTGAGTTTTCTTCAAACGCAATGACTTGCGGGTTTTCTGCTGTTTTTGTGGTTTTTCTGTTGTTGAAGTTTTTCCCCCGCCCTTCAATAGCTTCCGCAAGTGCGTGTGTTTGCCCCCCCAACCCCCCCTCTTGACTCTTTTTTTTTATGGATTGTGTAACTCTTATTTTTCTTTTTTTTTTGTTTGTTGGGAGCCTCAAATCCGTCAGTCATTCTCATTTCCTTCTCTCTTCCGCCGCTCAATTGAAGCCTCGAAATCGCCCCCCTTGAAAATTTTCAGACAACACAAAGGTTCCCTTGTTTTCTAGCAATTTTCGTAACGAAAATTTATTGAATTGAAAGTGAAAATTGCTTGGGAAATTGGGAGTCGAAGAAGCGATAACCCCAGAGCTTCGGAGCACTCGGGGAGCACTCTTTGGCGCTGGGATGATAATTGGCATTCGGGCATTCGGACATTCGGCTTGTAACACCTTCAAATTTGCTGGGAGGGGAGATTGCCTGGGCTCTGAATTGGCTTTGATTTAGGGGGATCTTTATCTCTGAACAATATTGGTTATATGCCAGACAGACAGTCGGACGGGGGCTCTGTTATGTAATTGTGTGGGGGGAAAATCTAAGACGGAAGCGCCCGTGTGTCTGTCTGTCTGTCTGTGTGTGTGTGCTCCGCCTTTGGCTTTGATTTGTGTCGGTTTTGATTTTGATTTGAGCCATTTTGACCATGACGGGGACGGAGATGGGGGCCCTCTCATTGCATAAGAACTGGAAGGAGGATCATGGGCTTTCGCCCCCTCCTCGAAAGAGCTTTCCCTTTTCTTCCTGCTTTGATAAGCACTTTCTTGCTTTTCCTCCTCAAGAGTTTCCCTTTCTTCCCGTTGAAACTTCCTTTTCAGATACGAAATGCTCCTCCATCTGCTCCGTCTATCGCCTGCCCCCTTTCCTTCCCCATTCCACCGACTGGAGGAGAGACTTTTCTTTGACCCATTCATACAACAATTGTTTCTCTTTTTTGGCTAATTGAAAATGCCTTTTGCAAGCTTTTGTTCAATGGAATTCCAGCAGCACATTTTGCTCCAATCAAAAAACGCAGCCACTGGAGCCTCTGGAGCCACTGGAGCCACGAGCCAAATGAAAGTATGATACGAAAAACAAATAAAAAGGAAGGAGTTTTGCAAATCGAAAAGCGATCCCCGATCTCCGCTGCTGCTGCCTTCCCCTGATTTACGACAATTGTTTTGTCACGTTGTCGATTGAAAAAAGGCAGGGAAGGAGAAAAAGAGCACAAATAGAGGGGTGTAAAGAGGTGCTATGCCGAGGAGTATATAAAGGGGCTAGCGAGGGGGCTAGAGGGGGGGCTGCGAGGCTGCCGCCGCACAAAATGTCAATTGCCCAAAATGGTTAAACATATTTCCAATAAGTTGTTTGGCGTTTGTCTCTGTCAATTGTTGGCAGTAGCCACTGCCACAGATACCGCTACCACCGCTGCTGCTGGTGCTGCTGGGGCTCCTCCCGGGGGCGTAGACGACACGCACTCAATGTCCAATGCCGTAAACTAGAGTTCCATTTTCCACAAAACAAAACAACACAACACAAAAACAGATCGAAGCAATCAAACCCCAGAGCCAAGTAAAAGGAAAGCCAGTCGGTGGCCCCGCAAGATTGAGATGAGATGATCTCGGAGTCAAGGAAAAAGCCAAACAAAATTTGTCAGCTGCCGGACAATGTCGCCGGCCATAACGAGATGCCGGCGATGGAGTTCCCAGAAGCCCCCAGATCCATCCCCCAAGGTGCTGGCAGCAATCTCCTTTTTTAATTGTAAACCAAAAAAGATGAGCTCAAGGCAGTGCGGCAGTCGTGGGATGTCTTTGGATTTGCAGGGGATAGAGGGCAAGGGAACTCTGAAAGAGATCTTTCCTCTGAGATCTTGCAGATCTTTCATCTCGAAACAGTTCTGATGCCCTCCGCCATTGGAGTGCTCTTGAGAAATGCCTCTCCCCATGAGAAGGGGGCCACAATGGGTTAACTGTGAGCTAGGGGGGACAATGGGTTAAGGCCTGCCTGCCCTGCCTGTTCTTCTGTTGCAAGTGAGGCGTAAACAATCATGTTGCATGTCGCAACGCAAGGATGTCTTTGTTTTGCGCCAACTAAATGGACCAAAAATGGTCAAGACAAGACAACTGCCCAATGGAAAAGCCTCAAAGAAAAGTAGGGGGAAAAGAAGGGAGGGGGGGAAGAAAAGCCAGGAAAAAGTGAAGGTGGCGCAATTTGGGCTCTTGGCTTTGGCTTTGGCTTTTGTCTGGAAGATTAGCTAAGACCCACAAGACCTGGACCCAGCGACAGTTACGACCATAATCGCAATGACAATTTAGTGTTCCGTTTGCATGGCGATATTGCGGGAGTGAGCGGACAGACGGACAGACGGACGGACGGACAGACGGACGGACGGACAGTCGAGGAAATGCTCCACTTTATGGCAGTCATAATTTCCATGCTTTGCGATTCGATTCGATGCGATTTGGCGGCGATTCGATTGGGTTTTCTTTAGGATTTTTGCCTCGTTGTCCGATTCTATCCGAGTCCGCGACGGCTACCTCGACCGCGTCCGAGAGTTGTGTCCATTGTGTTTCTGTTGTTGCTGGTGCAGAGGCAATCTCTAGCTCGACCATCGAACAGATTTGCATAACAATTGGTGGCTGGCATGGCTATAACCTTTCGCCCAATAAGTTAGCCAAAAGACTGGACCCGGCAGACCATATGGTCGGTCGCTCTGACCGCCCAGCAGTTGTTAAATGCCGCTGAATGCTGAATGCCGCCGAATGCTGACTGCCTGCCTGCCTGCCTGCCTGCCCGATTGTTGCACTGGTCGCGGCGCTGGGCGGCAATAAAACATTTACCGAATTAGTTGGAGTGTAAAATCCACTTGAAATTCAGTTACGATCGCAGAAGGAGAGACTAGACTGCTGTTTCGTTTATTCGTTTCAGTTATAGTTCAACTTTCGCGTTAAATGAACCTTTAAATAAACTTTCCATTTTATTTTTGCCATCATTTAACGAGCTCCGCCACGGCGTTTTCCAAGGGACTTGCGATTCGATTGGAAATTCAATTGAACGAGAAACGTTTTCCACGCTCCGCACAGCAACTCCATGGAAAATGGCACAGAAACAGCTATGGAAAATAGTGTCCTTTCAAAGTGGTAGAAAACTGTTTTAGAAGTTGAAGGTTGACTTGGGTAAAGGCCGGTTGAACGTATAATCTGTCGAGAGAAAAAAAGAAAAAAAAGAAAAAAAAACAAAAAAAAGAAAAAAATAAAGAAGAAAAAAGAAAAAAAAGAAGAAAAAAGAAATAGGAGAGAAAAAGAAAACAAAATTTCAAATAACATATGTAGATACAAAACATGGACCTTAAACTTGGGTATAACCTTTTTCGGTATCATATATTTATTGAGAACTGGTCACACCTTTTAGAACACCATTAATTATGACATTTGCCAGAGTGGAAACGTTTCTATAGAGGCAAAAAATCATACAAGAAGATTACCATCGCAAGATTGCCATCAAAATGGAACTCTCAATCAATCGCGGACAACCGCTCAATCATAAATTGTACAAACAATGCCACTGGCACTTCGGGCAACCTTCAATCTTCCGACGTTGCTTCTATCTTCAATCTTGGCTTTGTTTTGAAATCCTTGACTCCAGCCGACACTTCTAACAAATCACAAAATCCGCCTTATATCTCCTCATATCTCTCAGAGAAACAATCGAATCTCGGCAACCTTTCTCCTACTCTTTCGATCGAATCACGCCCCGAAAACCATAAGAGAATTGAAGAGAAAACCAAGAGGCCCAGAGGGAGGCAGGGTGGCAGGGGGGGGGGCTTGGGCAGGGGCCACTCTCCTCTCAAGTTCAATTGAGTTTCACTTTTTTTTTTCTTCTGTTGTTCACTCTTCTCTCCGATGATTATAAAATGTTCGTGATTTAAATTAACAATTAAAGCGGATAATTAACAAAATGAAAACAAAGGCAACGAACAGGCAACACCCCCTAAAAAACAGAAAACCGAAAGCCAAAAGCCGAAAAAAAAAATATTATTATAGGCCATAGAGTGGTGGTAATTTATCAGAAAAACACAGACAAATCTGCTGTTGTCAGAGTCCGCCGATGAAGTCTCGGGATGAAGTCATTACCACAGACAATCCACACGGTGGAAGCCCCAACAAAGGGGAGCCCTTGGATGGGGAAGCGGATCAAATGATTTCGTCATTAAACAGACAAACGGAATTACACACCTTTCTGGCTCCCCGTTTCCCTCTCTCTCTCTCTCTCTCTCTTAATAGAGCAATAAAATTGCCGAAACTTTTAATCGAGCAATCGAGAAATTTATATAGAAATTATGGTTGAGGAAAAACCATGAAAATGAAACCGAAATGAAATCAAAGCTAAAAACCAAATGAAATGTAGATGAAAAAACTTCAATAAATCTTTTTGGCAATTGGGGGGAAAAAAAAACAGAAACAAAAACCAAAACCCAAAGGCAACAGAAATCACACACACAAAACAAAAACAAAAAAAAATGTTCATAAAATTTTACTTTCGAACACAATTTATTTTTATATCAAAGTATTTTCTTTGAGAGTCGTTTTTCTAGCCGCAGCAGCCCCAGCCCCAGCCCCGGCCCCAGAGCCACAGAGCCGAATGAAAAACAATGAAAAATTCATGTACAAACCATTCATTCAGGTTCAATCATTAACACTGGTAGATCGAACGGGGCGAACGGGCCACTGAATCGCTGGATCGCTGGATCGTCGAATCGCTGCATCGGGGAAAAGGGAAAGGCGTATTGTACAAGGCTTTGAGCCGAGAGTGGAGTCGGTCTTGAAGGCTTTGTCGCCACTTTAATTGGCTCAAATTAAAGACGATCCAGCGGGGAGAATGATCGTCGTGATGATGATGATGTGCCACTGCCAGTGCGGGGATGAGGCGTTACTTTATTTCGCTGATTAATGAAGAAATTTCCTAGCCCGCGCCGCAGTCTTCTCCCCGTATTTTTGCCACCTTGTTAACGTCTCCACAGCACTCGTCTATGTGTGACTTTGGTTGCTGTTGTTGCAAAAAACAAAACGACTTTGTGGCAAAATTAAATTTAACAAAATGTCCCATAAAATGATGCGCGAGATGATGGAAACTTCACATGGACTTTTGACATTCGCGGGTCATTAAATCTGCGAAACAAACTGTCGAGGAGAAGGTGCATTTGGAAAGCGATTTCCCCTCATTTCCATCGATTGTGGATGCCGCAATAATAAAGAAGATTTGCAGAGGATTTCTTTAGCTTCATTTTGGGCGAGGACTTTGCGGGAAGTGCAGCGAAAGGTGCTTGAAGATATTTTCAGCAGCATCCCAAGAAGCCAGAAACGAAAACAAAAACACATTTGTGTGCCAGATATTTTTCGCGTTTATGGATTGTGTGAAGAAACCGAGAATCTGTAATAGAAATTAATGGCTTATGGGGAGGAAGAACTTCAAGAGATGCATCTGAAGAGTGTAATATGCGATACGGCTTTGAAGAATGTTTTCATTACAGCTCTATAGATAGACTCTCGGAAGATGCACAAGAATACAGTATATTCCCGGTTTCATGTTAATTGTAGATCGTTTATTCAGTTCCAATCGATATTAGGGGTACTCTCATTGGCGGTGGTAGATCTGATGGCCGATGGAGGGCACGCCGTAGGAGTGAGCATACGATGGAGCATAGACCACTGGGGAGTAGGACTTCAGTACGGGAACGTGCTGCACCACGGACACGTGCTTCACGACCGGGACATGCTTCACGACTGGGACGTGGCTCACGACAGGCACCTGCTTCACGACGGGCACCACTTTGACCACCGGGGCCACAGCCACTCCGTAGTGGGAGTGCGCGGAGGGGTATTCCAGATATCCGGGAGAAGGAGCAGCCGAGGCAACGGCCACCAGGACGAAGATCAGAGCACACTGACGGGAGAGGAGAGGAATCAAAGGTTAAAGGATACTCCGTAGGATTTCTTCTTTAAGATACTTACAATGCGGAACATGCTGAAGAAGAATTGGTTGTGGAATTTGAGGTTCTTGCGTGAACTTGCGTGGATGTCGGATGACTGTTGATGTTTGACCCTCCGTTGGGCTCTTTAAATAGTCAAAAAAGACATCTCGGAACAAAGTCATTTGATCAGCGCCACGCGACAAACGAGTTTCGCCCACAAAAGAGTTCCGATCCGATGCGATCTGTTGTTTCCTTCCGTTTCGTCGGGCTTTGATCTGTTTTCCCGCCCAGAAGGTGATCTTCGACATAAACGTTCCTTTGTCAAGCCGTTTAGGCATAATCCCCTTTCAATATCGCCTCGCAATTGTCTGTCTGTCCGCGTGTGGAGTCTCTCGAAGGTATTGAAAGGCATTGTCATTATATCGATCGCCGGCTTCACGTGAGCCGTTCGAAGACGCCGATGACCGTTGAGAACCAAGGCCGTGAAGACGATGGGGAGTCTGGTGTTTGTGAATACACCTTCGGATTAATCGACAGATAAATTTATTCGCACAATTAAACCAAAGAATTAAGATACAAAACACAATTAAACTGGTTTGTGCGTGCAGCCAGAAGACACATTTTTGGCCATATATAATCCTCGATCTGTGGCTAAGTCAACAACAGTCATCAGACCTCTACACAAGGGACAGCAGCTCTTCTGATCTTGAGTCTTCAATACCCCCAAAATATTCCAAAATGTTCCGCATTGTAAGTATTTTTAAGGATCTGTCCTTTGGATAGATGGGACAACCTTTGATACCTCTCCTCTCTTGCTAGTGTTCTCTGATCTTCGCTCTGGTGCTTGTGGCCTCGGCTGCTCCTTCTCCCGGATATCTGGAGTACCCCTCCGCGCACTCCCACTACGGAGTGGCTGTGGCCCCGGTGGTCAAAGTGGTGCCCGTCGTGAAGCAGGTGCCTGTCGTGAGCCACGTCCCAGTCGTGAAGCATGTCCCGGTCGTGAAGCACGTGTCCGTGGTGGAGCACGTTCCCGTGCTGAAGTCCTACTCCCCAGTGGTCTATGCTCCATCGTATGCTCACTCCTACGGCGTGCCCTCCTCCTACGGCCATCAGATCTACCACCGCCAATGAGAGTACCCCTAATATCGATTGGAACTGAATAAACGATCTACAATTAACATGAAACCGGGGATATACTTTTTTCTTGTGCATCTTCTGGGAGTCTATCTACACTTTCTCATGGATCTGCATCTAAAAGCTGAAGAAACAATCTTCAAAGCCAATGAAAACACTCTTCAGATGCATCTCTTGAAGTTCTTCCTCCCCATAAGCCATTAGTTTCTATTACAGATTTTCGTGTTCTTCGCACAATCCATAAACGCGAAAAATATCTGGCACACAAATGTGTTTTTGTAGAGGCTCTGGTTTTAGTTTTTGTTTTTGGTTCTCTTTTGGGGAATGATAAAAGCCAAATGTGGCTGGCGTTCCAGGCACCCAGCGGATGGGAAGATACACAAAACGCTAAAGATACGGATGCAACTGCTGCACGGCGGCATGGAACGGCATGGAACGGCATGGAATGGCATGGCATTTGGCAAGAAGCTGTTCACAAAATTGACTCTTTGCGAGTGATTGAAAGTGATTAATGAGGCGAAGGCGAGGGAGAGCGGGATGGAGGCGGAAGGAGTAGGAGACGGGGAGCACGTTGAGTGCGCTCCATGTGGCGTATCTTTAAGATACATTTTGAACGGTAGTTAAAAATCTTCTGACCAACACGCAAAGAAGGAAAAGAGTCTGAATCTCTGGCAAAGTGAAATGTCTGCCGTTGGCATTGAAAAAAAAGAAAAACTTCTATAAAATGAAAAGCTCTTTGGCCCCTGCCGCCCCGCTACTGCGATTTTCCATCGTTTACCCCCCGCTCCCCCCTCCCTTGGATTTTCTCTGGCTGCCGGTGCTGCTGACCCACATTTTGGCAGACAGAAAAATTTATTTGCCTTGGCTTTGGGCTCTAAAGAATTGTTAACAACAATTTAGTAGCTCTTCCACTTGCCCACTCCTCCCCTCTCCCTCCCCCTCCCTCTCTCTCTCTCGTCTGCTAAGTGTATTTTATTGTTTGCCAATTGCTGTGTCTGTTGTTGCTGTTGCTGTTGTTGTTGTCTTGTTAACGCTTTTTATAGCCCGCTTTTTGCTTTTCGGCCAACTCTATTTGTCGAGAGTCTTTCTCTCTGGCTACAGGCTGCCGCTGCCGCTGCCGCTGCCACTACCGCTGCCTCTGTGTCTCTCTATGCAGATGTATCTTTCAGATACATTCATTAACTTGTTTGCAGTTACAGTTGCAATGTGCCCCTCCCTCCACTCTCCTCCTCCTCCTCCTCTTTCGAGGTGATTTATGCTTTGTCCAGCTTTTGTTTGTTGTATATTTAGACATTTCCTATATGTTGTCACCTCAATTTTTTCTTCTCTTTTCCTTTTTGTACACTTTTTTGTAATGCCCGCGCACTTGCTCAACTTTTCTGTGGATTGTGTTTGATATACCCTGCAGAGTAGAGGGTTTAACGCTTATCGGATGATGTTTGTGGCACAGAGAAACGAGACCCCAGAGTTCTTCAGTCTTTTGTGCCTCGACAACAACGTTTCGACTGATTGAATTGGCTTTGAAATGCAAATAAAGAGGATATTGAACACATAATGATTAGACATCGTATGCATGATCGTATATAGAAGCGTTTCTAAAAGAAATATCGGGGGTTTTTTTTAATACGGATATAAAATCGAGCTAAGAAAATGTCTATCCATATCGGATTACTATTTCCTATAGGAACAATCGATTGCAAGACTCTTTCTGGGCAAAACTTTGTTTTGTTGTAAAGGAATACGTCTCACGCGGTCATGCAGCGGCTCTCCTCGGTTGGCTTGAGGCTTAGTGTCTCTTCGATCACTAGAAATCTCCTAGGGTGTCCATTGGTTCGGCCACCAAATGTATCTTTTCTTGTGTTAATTTTTTGTAACTTTTTTTTGGGATAATTAAAAAACACAGAGGCAATTGTGCAGTTATGACTGGAGACTAGAGACTAGAGACTAGAGAGTGGACACTGAAGAGACAGAGAGAGAGAGGGAGAGAGGGAGTGGGGCTTGAAAGGGGGAAGCATTTTGAATGTGTGAACATGGAAGATAAACCCACTCTGCCACTCACTCCGCACTCCACTCCCCACTCCACTCCCTTGCACTCCACTCCCCTGCGAGCAGCGAACATCATTTCGTTATGAACTATGAATATGAATATGAATATGCATTGGCGCTTGATGGGGCTTTGCCCAAGAAGAAGTTGAAGGCGTGTCCCCGCAATTAGTTCGAAGCCCAGGCCCTTCGATGATGCCCTGAGGGGCATTTTGGCACGTTGTCAGAATGAAGAGGGGGACAGAGTGGGCGGAGAGAGTGGACTTCAATCAGGGAATGGGACTGCCAAGGGGGAAAACTAGTTTCCTCCAGAGTAGAGGAGCAGATCCTTTTCCATCCATCCCAACATTCGGCTCTCTCTCTCTTTCTCTCTGTGATCTGCTTTCCCCTCTCCTGTGGGGGAACCCCTCCCTGTGGGGCTCGTGTGGTGCTCTAACAATCCATCTGTGTGTGCCCCAAGTTTAGAGGCGGCTGCCACTCCAACTGGTTCTTTGTCATCCATCTGCCTGTTGCGGCTTACAAATAAGGGAAAAACTTGTCAGCCTCTGCCACAGCCTCTGCCACGGCGCGTTTTCCCCCGCTCCGGTGGGATGGCTTCTTGGAAAATCCAGAGGCCAACGCGAAAGAATCTCTTCTATTTCCTTGGGAAATATCTGTGGCATCTGAGAGCGCTGAAGATTCTTCCTGCTCTCGTTTCCATCTTCTGTTTGGAGTCGTTGTATCAATTTTTAATGCTTTTCTATGGCGTTGTGTGTTTCTCGCTCTGTGATCTACTTCGAGTGCCTCAAGAGGAGCCTCTTTCGTTGCATTCGGAGGCCCAGGCACGCGTGCGAAATCGATGCAGGAAATCCGATTTGTGGTAAAAGTTTTTTCTCTTTCTTTGCGCCACTCCCCTGCACTGCACTCCCCCCCTCTGCCACGGGAAGAGCTCTTGCTCATTTAACTTTTGCTTTACTTTGGTAAGCTGTCGTTTAAAGTTGTTTGAACTAAGCTGAAAAATATGTGCATACATAGGCTCCGCCGCGCCCGGGTCTTGTGTGGCTTCCACGAAATCAAAGACCGCTCTGCGGGCAGTAGGAAGTGGCGGCAGGCGAGGCACCTCTGTGGCTAGTGCCACAAGGGTTGTCGTCGGGGTTAATCGCTGGTAAACGCCTCGAGAGAGGTCACTGGCTTACCAGGCGCCCACAGACCAAGGATATTTGAGCTGGCTCCGCCCAAGAACTAATGGAGAGACGAGGAGTGTTTTTAGTGCAAAAGAAATAGGGAAATTCCAGTGGATGGGAGGAGGGAGGAAAGAATTAAAATCCAAAGAGATTCTTCTTGGAGATCCTGAAGATCCTTCTTCTTTGGAGAACTTCCAGCTCTATCAGTGGATACTTCTTTCGACTTGAAACGTGATCTTTCTGCAGATCTTTCATCCAACTTTGGCTCACTTTTGCCCCTATAGATCTGTGATCTATATTCTATATTTCTTCCATCTAAAGATCTCTCATCTCCTGACGATCTCTCTCTCTCCCTCATTCATCTTTGGGTCTCTCTTCTGGTGAAGTTCTCTTTTGTTCTTCCTTCTGATGCCCGCTCTTCTCTTGTAGATTTCTTAGGCTTAGACTTTCATTTCTTCCATCGACCACTGCCTCCCCTCCCCTCCCTCAAATCATTGTAGATCCCCTCGTTCGCCTTTCGAACTCCAATCATCATTAAAGCCAAAAGCCAAAAGAGCCTCCTCCTTCGACAATCTGATCGATTTATGCAAATGATACTCTAATCTTTGGAGCCAGCTTTTCTCCACTTTCGTGTAATCTGTGGAGCCAGCTTTTCCCCACTTTCCCATCAAAGAATAAAGACCATTCGTCATTCGTTTGTGGCAAACAAAGATCTTGAAGAGGATTCCTCTCTCTCTCATCGATGGATCGTCTAATGATGTTTACCCTCATTTATCCTGACTCCTGACTCCTGCCTCTGCGATGCGGCTCAGAGGCAAGCTCAGGCGACGATCTATGATTCTTGTGCCTCACCTCGAAGCACACTCCACGCTCCACAGTACAGACTCCACGCTGAGTGGGTGGCGGGATCCTCCGTTATGTGGAGAGGCAGAGGCTGAGGCTGAGGCAGAGGCCTACAGCTGCGAGAAATTGCGGCTTCAACACTCGACACAACGTGGCTTAATGTAAAGTGCCGCTAAAGTGTACGCGTGGGTGGGCCCCACAGACGAAGACTCCACTCCACTCCAGTCCACTCCTCTCCAGACTCTGTGCTTCATTAACACCAAAAGACTTTTGCTTGACTTTGGGATCGGATCTCTTTCTCCCCCTCCTCCTCCTCCTACTTCTTCTTCTTCTCTTTTTGTGGACGATTAATCTTAAACCAGAAGGAGCGCCGCCGCCACAGAGAGAGAGATAGAGAGAGAGAGAGTGAGTGAGAGATCTCTCTGCCATAATCCACGTTTTGTGTCTGCAATTTGCGAGCATTTTGTTTTGCATTATCCCAGAAAAAAAGAGGAGAAAAAAGGAACAGATTCTGGGCACACAAAAGGCGCAACTCATTTGCCGCTTTTCACACCCTTGAAGTGAAGTTTTCTCTCACTTTTCTCTTGGAGGAGCCCGGCCCGAGCCGGCTTGCTCATAAATCATTCAGCCAGTCGGGGGGCCTTCCCTGGCCCCAGTGGGCGTCGTCCGACGTCCATTAGAAGTGTGCGAAGGCGCAATCGCTGTGGCTGTGGCAGTTGCAAATGCAATTGCAGCTGTTGCCCCCAAAGTGCGCGCCACCAGCTGCAAAAGTAGAAAAGAATTGAACGAAATCTCAGGCAATGGATTCGAAGGATTGCAAAGAGTAGTGTTTCCACGCGATATACTCGTATTGTTCAAGCGATTGTAGAGCACTGGGTCAAGCAAGTCACTCACCCGCTCACTCACTCACTCACTCAATCAGTCAGTCGATCATTCATTCTGCTGGCC